GCTGATCTGAACATTGACTTTAAAAAAAAACGAAAAGACCGAGGGAGTTAACCTTCCGTTCAGCCAATTCCCGTTCTCATAGAGGAGCTCCGTTATTTCTCGATGCAATCCTGCTTTGCTTCCAGAAAGATTTTCCCAACGTTGTGTTGTTCTCAAACCCGGTTCTCCCAGATTAGAGTCCGCACACTTAACCACTACACCAAACTGGGTATAAGCTTTTACCCAGGGCTCTTTTTGCAGAAAAAGCCCAGCAGGAACTCATTAGCTTAATAGGCCACATCTAATAGCAGGCACTCATTAGCATATTAGGCCACACCCCTGACAGCACAGCACATTAGCATATTAGGCTGCACCACCATGTTACCAGAAGTGTGGTCATCCAGCCACACCCACCTTTTGCTTCTTATTCTGTTTACCTTGTTTGTTGTCCAAACCCAGGGCCTTTTTTTGTAGCAGGGACTCCTTTGCATGTTAGGCCACACACCCCTAATGTAGCCAATCCTAATGAGTTCCTGCTGTTGGGTGTGGCCTATTATGCTAATGAGTTCCTGCTGGGCGTGGCCAACTTGGGAACCAGCCGGAACTCCGTTCCTGTGTGTTCCTGCCCAAAAATAGCCCTGCTTTTACCCAGAATAAATCTTGGTCGGTTTTAAAGGTGCCACTGGACTCAAATTTTGTTCTGCTGCTTCAGAGCAACACGGCTGCCCCACCTGAATAAGAGGATGGGGTTTCACCGGCATAAATCCTTCCTCCACCCTAATATCAGCTGCTGGTGTAACCGGATGCAGCTCTGAGCAGAGATCTTTAAAAGGTGATCTGTGAGATTTCTCAACTACTCTGACTCCGCCGAACCTCTCATCTCTACCCGATATGACAGTGATGGCGAACCTTTTAGAGACCGTGTGCCCAAACTGCGACCCAAAACCTTTGTCGCAAAGTGCCCACACGGCCATTTAACCTGAATACTGAGGTTTTACTTTAGAAAAAACAACTCATACATTAACTTAAGATGATCCAAACAAAGTAAGGAAAACAATCCCAAATGCTTTCATTGACTTCAAATTATTTGGCAGAGAATTCGACACTTTAATGACGGTCTGGGCCTGGCTGGGGCGATGGCACGCGTGCCCACAGAGAGGGCTCTGAGTGCCGCCTCTGGCCCCCGTGCCATCGGTTCGCCACCACTGCTATAGGACAACCGGGGAAGGTTCCGCTTTGCTGTCGTTGTGCAGGTGGCACAAGAGGAGAGGGCATTAGCTGTTGACTTTCCACTGAGTTCAGTCAGTGTGGATTTTTAACCAGCACTTCCTCTTTTTTTTGGAATTGAGTTACACCCTCTTTGGGGCTGGGAATGGGGTATGAAAGAGCACCGGGTTCTGACTGACTGTACCGTCCTAAGCAGATCTGCATCCTTTTGAACCCCTTGACTTCAGTGGGCGTCAGTCTCCTTAGGAAGAGGCTGTAAGCTACATTTCTCCCCGGCCTTGATCCCCTTGCATCGCTCTTCTCCTACTTTGGGCAGTAGCAGGCCACTGTAACGGTGGTGCTGGTGCCATATTGTTGGCGTTGGTGTTCTTTACCAACCCAAGGGAACTTCAGTTTGGCATAGTGGTTAAGAGCGCAGACTCTAATCTGGGGAGAACCAGGTTTGATTCCCCACTCCTCCACATGCGGCCAGATGGGTGACCTTGGGTCAGTCACAAGTCCTCTCAGAGCTGTTCTCTCAGGAGCCATTCTCGAAAGAGCTCTCTCAGCCCCACTTACCTCACAGGGTGTCTGTTGTGGGGAGGGGAAGGGAAGTAGATTGTAAGACACCCTGAGACTTCGAGTGAAGGGTAGCTTATAAATCCTCCTCCTCCTCCTCCTCCTCCTCGCAATCAGGTAGCCATCCAGCGAGCAACTGTTAGGCATCTGCTTCATTTTCTCCCCCACCCTTACTGTAGCCTTCCATGGAAGGGTATTTCTCACGGGTAAGAACATAAGAACATAAGAGACGCCAATGTTGGATCAGGCCAAAGGCCCATCTAGTCCAACACTCTGTCACACAGTGGCCAAAAATACCAGGTGCCATCAGGAGGTCCACCAGTGGGGCCAGGACATTAGAAGCCCTCCCACTGTTGACCCCCCCCCCAAGCACCAAGATAACAGAGCATCACTTGCTCCAGAGTCCCTATCTGTACCCTGTGGCTAATATCCACTGATGGACCTCTGCTCCATATGCTTATCGAATTCCCTTTTGAAGCTGTCCATGCTTGTAGCCGCCACCACTTCCTGTGGCAGTGAATTCCAATTGTTAGTCACTCTTTGGGTGAAGAAGTACTTCCTTTTATGCGTTCTAACCCGACCGCTCAGCAATTTCATGGAGTGCCCACGAGTTCTTGTATTGTGAGAAAGGGAGAAAAGTACCTCTTTCTCTACCTGTTCTTTCCCATGCATAATCTTATAAACCTCAATCATGTCACCCCTCAGTCGTCGTTTCTCCAAGCTAAAGAGCCCTAAGCGCTTTAACCTTTCCTCATAGGGAAAGTGTTCCAACCCTTTTATCATTCGAGTTGCCCTTTTCTGCACGTTTCTCCTGAGATGCATTATTCGTCTCCTAGTTGCTTAAGACTCAAGGTATACTTACCTCCTTGCTTTTCAGCTCCCCGGGGACGACGAGGATGGAAGAAATTTTATGCAGTGCTGAAAGGAACCATTCTGTATCTACAAAAGGTAAAGATGGTGGACTGCTCTGTTCTCCTTCTCTCAGCCTGTTCTCCTCGAAGCAAGGGTCTAGAGCAAAGCTTATAAAGAGCAAGCTCTAGGAAATCAGGCAGTAACTTTATGGTCAAAGAATGCAACGTCTGAAGAGCCTTGCCGGGTCAGACTTACTGAAGCTAGTCAGATGTCCCCACAGTGGGCACTAGCTGGCCCTGAGGACAAACGATCTAGGGCTGGTTCTCGGTCCGAGCCACCCAAGCACAGGGTTGCCAGGTCTTGCCCATCTGCGGGTGGGGGGCTCCTGGCTTGCTCCCTGGGTCATCATAGAGTTTTTAGCCGAATGCTAGAGTGTGTGTGATGTGCCTGTGTGATGTGCCTGTCACTATGATCAGTGTTCCCTCTAAGCTGAGTTAGTGTGAGCTAGCTCACAGTTTTTGAGCCTCTGGCTCACATATTTTTTGTCTTAGCTCAGGAAGGACGGCTCCAGAGCAAACTAATTTATGCAGTAGCCGAATCGCTCGCTCACAACTTTAATGCCAGGAGCTCACAACATAGAATTCTTGCTCACAGGACTCCACAGCTTAGAGGGAACATTGAATGATGTCACTTCCTGCCCCATCAGGGAGTAGGCAACTGCTTGGAACAGCACAGTGAGAGCCAGTGTGGTGCAGCAGTTAGAGCAGAGATCCCCAAACTTATTTGGTCTACTGCCCCCTTTTCAGGAAAAAAAGTTACTCAGTGCCCCCCTGGACGTCTACCTTCAAGAAGTGGACCAAAAGATGCAGTTTGTGGATCTGCACCAGGAACATTCCAGCCCACCTGGATCGTTCCAGTGCCCCCCAGGGGGCGGTATTGCCCACTCTGGGAACCAGTGAGTTAGAGTTACAGACTAGGGTCTCGGAGATCCAGATTCGAATCCCCACTCTTCGACTCTTATTGGGCACCCTTAGGCTAGTCACGCACTCTCATCCTAACCTACCTCACAGGGTTGTTGTGGAGTTAACATGGAGGAGAGGAGAAGGATGCAATCCACTTTGGGTCTCCTTTAGGGAGGGAGGCAGGGTATAAATGAAGCAAATGAATAGACGAGAAAGGTGCTGATATCCTGCCAGGGCTCAGCTCACTCCCAGGAGCCCAGGAGATGGGCTGGACCCGTGCCACCGCTGGCTGGCTCCAAGCCAGGCTTGGCCTTGGCCCAAGTGGTGGTGGGTGCACCTTGCTTAGAGGAGAAAATATGCTCCTCTGGAATGTCACTGGTATCTGCCCTGATCATAGAGTTCTGTGTAGCCATTGTGGGTAACGGCCATGAAATGCAAGAAACAAGGTTGGATTAATCATCATCCTAAATCCTGTACCAAGCAAAGTCCTTGTCGGGTTGGTGCCCCTGTTGCAATGAATCCCAACCCTACAGCAAAAAGATCCCCATCTTGGTAGTGCTGGCAACCGATGCTCCCTTTAAGCTGTGGGGTCTTGTGAGCACAAATTCCACTTTGTGAGCTCCCGGCATTAAAGTTGTGAGCGAGCGATTTGGCTACTGCATCCATCGGTCTGCTCTGGAGCCATCCTTCCTGAGCTAAGACAGAAATGTGTGAGCCGGAGGCTAAAAAACTGTGAGCTAGCTCACACTAACTCAGCTTAGAGGGAACATTGCTCTGCATCTGGACTGAGAGGAAGATCTGTGTGATGTCCCATACCTGGTAGGGGAACATAGGTTGGGCAATCTATTTTCAGTTTGGTGTAGTGATTAAGTGTGCGGACTCTAATCTGGGAGAACTGGGTTTGATTCCCCCACGCCTCCACCTGCAGCTGCTGGATGACCTTGGGCGAGCCATAGTTCTTTCAGAGCTGTTCTCTCAAGGACAGTTCTCGAAAGAGCTCTCTCAGCCCCGCCTACCTCACAGGGTGTCTGTTATGGGGTGGGGAAGGGAAAGGAGTTTGTAAGCCGCTCTCTGAGTGAAGGGCGGGGTATAAATCCAATCTCCTTCTCCTCCTCTTCCTCATCATCATCTGAGGAACTAGAGTCAGTGTCCACGTCCTCAGAGAAAGAGCACATCGCTTTCACCTGACGTCTTGCTATTCCAGGTGTGTCCTTTTCGGAGATTTGTTTCTGTGCTTCTCTGAGATCCCTGATCTGTACCTAAGAAATCACAGGGACGTAAGAGTGACGAAGCAATGAAGAACTCTAAGTTCTCCACTGCCATCTTTCAAACACGCTGGCAACCGATGCTCCCTTTAAGCTGTGGGGTCTTGTGAGCACAAATTCCACTTTGTGAGCTCCCGGCATTAAAGTTGTGAGCGAGCGATTTGGCTACTGCATCCATCGGTCTGCTCTGGAGCCATCCTTCCTGAGCTAAGACAGAAATCTGTGAGCCGGAGGCTAAAAAACTGTGAGCTAGCTCACACTAACTCAGCTTAGAGGGAACATTGCTCTGCATCTGGACTGAGAGGAAGATCTGTGTGATGTCCCATACCTGGTAGGGGAACATAGGTTGGGCAATCTATTTTCAGTTTGGTGTAGTGATTAAGTGTGCGGACTCTAATCTGGGAGAACTGGGTTTGATTCCCCCACGCCTCCACCTGCAGCTGCTGGATGACCTTGGGCGAGCCATAGTTCTTTCAGAGCTGTTCTCTCAAGGACAGTTCTCGAAAGAGCTCTCTCAGCCCCGCCTACCTCACAGGGTGTCTGTTATGGGGTGGGGAAGGGAAAGGAGTTTGTAAGCCGCTCTCTGAGTGAAGGGCGGGGTATAAATCCAATCTCCTTCTCCTCCTCTTCCTCATCATCATCTGAGGAACTAGAGTCAGTGTCCACGTCCTCAGAGAACGAGCACATAGCTTTCATCTGACATCTTGCTATTCCAAGTGTGTCCTTTTTGGGGATTTGTTTCTGTGCTTCTCTGTGATCCCTGATCTGTACCTAAGAAATCACAGGGACGTAAGAGTGACGAAGCAATGAAGAACTCTAAGTTCTCCACTGCCATCTTTCAAACACAGAACTATCCCCCTTCCTCTGGAGCACCACATATGTTCTGTCTTCCCAATAAGCTTGCAGTTTACCGGGGTCCGCTCTCTCTGACAGGTTCCTGACTAGCACTCTGAGGCAAGGGTAGCCCCATGCACTCTGCTATCATAACTTCACTTCCCCCATAAAGCAGATGATTGAGAATATTTCGATGATATTTCGAATGCTTCTCTCATCTATTCTTTTTATCTGTTTACGCATGAATTATTGCCTCCTGATGAAGATGCTGGGCTTGTTGATGCAATGTCCACGGGTAAGCTTGGTGGTCTTCCACTGATGGACCTCTGCTCCATATATTTATCCAGTTCCCTCTTGAAGCCGTCCATGCTTGTAGCTCTTTTCGTGCAAAGTAACCCCCGCAATCCCTCACTAAACTGAAGACATGTTCCCCACCTAGGTGTCCCATTTCCTCATGCAGTTCACAAAATACCGAAGGCTGGTATTTTGCAGGTAAAACTAGTTGACGTTTGGACTTGTTTTCCCTTCATTGTTTACCTACGATCTACTCCATTCTTGCAACAGAGTGGTACATTCTTCATTGTACTTATAGTTAGTGGCTTTATGTCCCAAAGTTTTATATTGTAGAATTTTGGAGAGCTGCAGCTCTTCTTTCTGGGCTGCCAGTAGATTGTCCTTTGAGATCAGCCATACCATGGAGGTGAGTCCTTTTGCAAAATCTTCCATGACTGGGGGTTGAAAGTAACAGCTGTTATCCAGGAGACATTGTCCTCTTTCTGTTCATCTGCAGATTGTAAAATGGCATTTACTTCTCTATAGTTGTTCCTTTGGCACACTGAGTTATATGCTTGTCTGTGTCAAGTGGCATCCACATTTGATTTTCTTGAATTAAATTTTATATTGTAACTGAAATCAACTAATCCCCCTACCCAGCAGTGTGTGACACCAACAAGTCTTGCAGATGTGAAGAGTTATGTTAATGAATTATTATCACGGCACAACAGGAATGAGGGCACATAATAGAGGTAGTCATGGAAATTGTCTGTGACTGCACATTTCAAGGCTAAGAATTCCAGTTTCCCTGTGTGCAGATGATATTTTTTCTCTGCTGCTGTGAGTGGCCTTCAACCATAACCAATCACTCTAAGCTGACCTTCCTGCCATTGATAGAGAACTGCACCAAGTCCTTCATTAGAGACATCCACATGTAAAACAAAAGGTAATGACATATTTGGTATGCCATTAGTGGAGGCCATATTAAATGGTCAAGTAGCTCATTTAATACACTCTGGTGTTCCTTAGTCCAAGTTACTAGTTGTGTGTAAGTTATGTGTCCAGAAGTCCCACTTTGTCCAGCAATTTGCTTCCTTCTCTGGGCTGATCTATGAGATTCATTTGTGTTGGATTGTGGAAGAGTTCAGCCAATCATACAAAGGTTTTGGTATGCAAAAAAAACCAGTCTGGGGTAAACTTTTGATAGTAAGAACAGAGCCCTAGTAATTTGCAAAGTTCCCTGATAGTCTTTGGCGCTTGTTCTGTCAGACTGCGAACTGTAAGCTGGATCCATTCTGTAACCCTCAGAAGACACTACTGTCCTAAGTAGTGTACTTGTCTTTTAAAGAAATTACTCTTGGAAGCCTTGAGTCTAATAGATGTTGTAACTCCTTCCTCACATTTTCGACATGTTCTTCAAAGGTGTGGCTGTAAACTAGAACATTGTCCAAGTAGAGAATGCAGATTTCATCTCTAAGATCTTCAAGACATTCTTTGATGCAATCTCTGGAAGGCTGCAGGTGCATTAGTCATTCCAAATGGAATAGGGACCCATTTATCTATGTCCCGATGTGTAATAAAGGCAGTTACGTGGCAACTTTTTTCTGTGATATATCCTTAGTGGTATGTTTTCCCCTGATCTAAGAGAGAAAACCAAGATTTGCCTCCTACTCCGTTAAGCGCATCTGGAATTGGAGGGCTGGTGCTGTCTGTCATGTATTGTTCTTCTGTTTAGTTCCCAACAATCAACACAGAGGCAGAG